AATGTTTACAGCACTTCCTGCTGGCTTGTGTGTCCCCTGCAAGAACGGAGCTCGCTGTCTGCGTTGTGCGTTTCAGAAAGTCTGACTGGGAAAGCTCAAAGATACCCACAGTAACTGGGTATTTTTACCCACAGTAATGGATTGTTGCCACTTTGCGCACTGTGCTTTGAACACCACATTTTCCCTAATGGGGTGTAAGGGAAAACACTGCATTTGAGGGAAAACCCCCAACTTTATAGACATTTCCTAGACATAGCTTTAAAGAGAAATGTCTTGTGGATATGTATGTGGGATCATGTATATGGGATTGGACCTAAATGAAATAAGACAGTGCGAAGAGACAGAAGTCCTGCCGTTAATCACGTTAAATTTTATTTAAACAGCAAGGTGTGCTTTGACTGTAACTGGTTTTATTTTTATTAATCCTTGATGCTGAGTTTTGAACAGTACTGTACCCAAACAGTTTTACAAACATAATGCTCAATACACTGTTTATTGCTCATTGGTTTTGTATGAACAGAAAAACCAGAAATTAATATAAGAATAAATAAGGCACCCTACTCATATGCTGATTTCATGTATTGTAGTAACATGCACAAAATTTCATTTTTCTTTTGCAAGTCACTTTCTCCATTTTCCTTATTAGAGAAAAAAATAAGTTAGATTTTATTATTTGGGCAAGAGCCAGTGCTTGGTCTGAACGGTCAAAACTTGAAAGCCCGTTCTAATTTTTTAATTTAACCTTCCACCTCACAAAGCCAGCTTCCGTATAGCATGTCCTGATTTCTTCTTCAGACAAAAAGTATTTTTGTTCTTCCTTTGCTGTTACTAGGAAACATGCCTTGCAAGAGGACTGTTCACGTACTGCTTGAGAGAAAAGACCTGACTTGCCTTTTTATCGGCATTTTCTAGTACTCACCCTGCTCAAAAGATAAAAATAAAAATGCAAAGGCATCTTTAGTGCCTTATCTTGTGTAGCTGAGCCCAAATCCGTGATTAGCATGAGGTGGAAGCTCCACAGAAGCTGGTTAAAAGCCTTTTTAAATTTCAGTATACCCTAAATTAGGGCCTCCCAGCAGTATCAAAATTCTGTCCAACTGTCCTTTTTCCTCAAGGGTCTCATTTTGGCTCTGCATACTATATGCAGTTTCAGGGCTGAGGAGAAGAACCGTGATGCTGCATAAACTGGGAAGCTGCTAGGGCAGAAACCTGCTTGCAGAGGCTTTGATGGTTTGACAGCCTATTGCTGAGGTACTGACCAAATGATCAAATAAACAAACCAGAGGGATGGGGCTCTGACCCCCAGCCCCAGCTTTCTTTAAACTGTTTGTTACCTTCTTTTTAGAAATTGCCTGAAACAATAGCAGAGACAAAGTGTTCAGAACTTTCCTTTCTTTCTTTTTTTTTTTTTTTTAATTTAAAGCAGATTATATAATAATTTCCTGATGTTCTAATGTTTATTCTGTAAAACTGTCATGTTCCTGCAGGGTAATATGAACAGATAGAATCATCGAGTTTACCAGTTACGTGATGCGTTACATAAATGACAACACCCAGCTTTACATGAACTTTGAAATGCAAAATGTCTTTTAATTACATAAAACAGTACGGTAATAACTTAAAGGAATCTTTTGGTTATATGTAAACACTAAAAGTTAGCTGTTTAAAAAATAATCTTGTAAGACAAGTATGGCATTGACGTAGTTTAAAAAACAGTAACTAGCCCTAAATCTGAATACTCTCAGGGTAGAACAGCAAAAGCAGACACCAATCTAATGCTATGCAATAACATGCTGAAATTTTGACTTATTTGAAGAACCAGTGCTTCTTTACATTCCCTCCTTCTTTTGTTCTCATATTTCAAGATTTTCACCATCAGTGCCCTAAAGAATGGGCCAGCTTGTACTTACAGGGTAATATCTGCTACTTTGAGTGTTGCCATCCTAATATTAAAAGCCATCTAAATTAAGTCTCCCAACTATGTACTGGTTTAAATTAAAATCCTGAGGAATTACAATCTGTTTACTTGATGGTTTTGGTTAAGTGCAATTCGATGTAGGCAGAATGCTGTTTCATTTAAGGTCATTCTTAGTAAGGCATATTAAAAATAAATATAAAAGTGACAACATAATATTTAGTTTCTTGCTACAAAATCTTAGGCAAAAAATATTTTTGCATGTAGTAATGGACTTTATCCATTTGCTGGCTTACAGGAGTTAAAATCTGTGCATTAAGCTTAACTGCCATTGTCAGAATGTGCCGCTGTGCTACAATACTGTTCCAAAGCTACATGCTAAAGATTTTGTTTCCATGCTCAAACACAGCTTGCACAAACTGCTTGAAGACTCTGTCCATGTAAGTGCACTTCCTTGGCCAGATTCCTTCCAGAAAACCGATATGGCCGCCGCACGAAGTCAGAACCAAAGCAACGTTTGCGTTTTGCTTGGCAGTTTCTACCGGAATAGCTAAAAGAAGAGGGAAGAAAGTTGAGGTTCTTATCCTTCTATGAAAGTCCAGCCCCTAATAATTTCTCTTAAATGTTTCTCACCTAATACATTTATAAATATGCACAGTATTAACATATGCTTAAACATGCTGTAGGACTTGGAAGCACAGCTGTGCTAAAAGCCATTTCTCTCATAATCATTAACTCACCTTGTCTGTGAGATTCTTCTGGTTGCTGGAAATGTTTCAGAAATCACTAGGCTTCAGCTTTTTTTCAGACCCACTGATGGCACAGCACCCATGTTAATGCATACTTATGGTTTGGTATATATAGTGTAAGTGAAGGACAATCAAGCCTTCCATCAAGTTTTTAACCCGTGTTGCAATATTCAACTTCGGAAAAACTGGGGAACTGGGACCTTAATTGTGAATTCTGTCCTTTTTGTAGGAGACTCCAAACACAAAACCTGTAATGTCAAGGTAAGGTTTTATCTTTAAGATACCCTATCAGCTAATATTTAAGAAGATCTTGGGTTATTATCATTCTTATACGTGATGTGCCATACATTTACATCTATACATTTAGACCACACCATGCAAACACACCGGGGGACGGGTTCCTGCCCTGAAGAGCTCAATGATCTAAATACCCACGGTAAACAGAAAAAGGAGGGGCACAGGGACAGAGAAGCTGCCCTGTCTCACCCAGCGCATTAGTGGTTCTCTGCTGAATAGTGACTGCTAGAAAATTATGTAATTTATAATTTAGATTATTAGACCAGGTACTACAGGTCTTTTTCTTCTGCTGGGTTAGTTTTTGGCTGAGTCGGGTCCCTGCTCTGGTTCCCATGTTAACGCCAGGATAAGGATGGCAGCAGGCGCAGTCAGATGAGGCCTGTGGTGAGGTGGCCTTTAGACTGACAGCCTGCAGAGTCATCAGCGAACTACACCGGAGACAGGCGCTGATCTTGAGATACGCAGAAAGGGAGGCTTCAGCACATCTTACCCTGAGAATGATGCAAATATGTGGCTTTATCAACACCATCACCTGGGCAGTGCCAGTGGTAAAGGAAAACAAAGGTCAGTTAGGGCAGGCTGACGACAGAGAAAGCACAAGACTTTATGGATGGTATTTTAGTGTGATGTGATGACACCACTATGACAGGAACTGGCTGAAACAACGTGGAGCTTTATGGAGCTGTGGGCATTTGTGCTCTTGGTATAAAAATTAAGTTACTTTAAGCAACATCCTCTGAAGTTTTAAGTACGCTAAATATACTTCTGAACAGGCAGAAACCACAATACATTTCAGCAAAGAATGCCATTTAAAATTTCAGTTTTCCAATAATACACTTCATGGAAGGGGAAAAAATAAACTTCATACAGGTTTTTTTGATTATTCTGGATGGACAGAAAAAAACCCAACAGTAAAAGAAGACATGCCTTGTCCAGACAGAAGAGAGTATTAGGAATTTTACTCGTCGTCTAACATTTTTGTGATTCCACAAGAAAATAAATCTGATTTTAGGTCACATACTGCTAAATGAAAAATGCCTTGGCACTGCAACACAAAGCAGGGAATCACTTACAGGATTTCTATTGCTGCGTTACCTCCTTAAAAAGTATTTTTGAAGATAGACTTCTAATCAGGTTCACTTTTTGGGGAGTTCAGTTGTCCACATCCCTTTCTGACTGAACTTCCTTAGAAAATACGCCTCCCCCCTGTTTCTAGGAGCCTGCTTTCCTCACTCCTTTATACATTTGCTGTCATCTCAAAGGTCATTCTCCTTGAATAATCATTATCCCTGCATATCACTGACTTTATAGATGAGTTTCTGGCTTTCATTCGGGTGCTGAGTGCTGTGTGCCTCACATGCCGTTTTGCCCCGTTTTCAGCAGCTGGAGTAGGAGCCAGAGACAGACCACCAGCCAGCGTACGCCACACAAGATCTTGAATCCAATGAGCGTGATGAGCAGGTGCACAACTTAAAACAGACAGCACTGGGCCTGCACAGAGCCAGGGGAGCGGTCTGTGCCTATGAGGTCCTTAACTAGCAGTGCCTGGAACGACAAGCTCTGTTCCACTCCAGGGCCTCAGCATGGAGGCTAAACAAACCATATCCATAGCGGGGAGAGTGTCTTTGTTGAGTGTTGGGTGATGAAGTTCCTGCCCGTAACATAAGGTACGTGACTGTGCCCTGAAGGGAGCACAGGCTGAGCTCCAGAGAGCAATGGGGATTCTCTTCCAGAGTATGTGAGATCCTTTGCTACCCAGCGCTACTCATTTATTTCACTCTTTTCCTCCTTGCAAAGTTGCATACGTCTAAGTAGTTTGCCAGTTCCAGCATTTAGTAAATTATTTTGATTACTAGGTGGAAGAAAGCATGCTTCTCACTGTCTCTACAAAAAGTCCTTGACTTTCTTTTGTTCAGCTGGAAAACTGGAAATACTCTATGCAGTATCTGGGCCTTTTAAAGCAATACTGAGGCAAGACTAAAAATAAACATCAATGCAATAAAAGCCTAGGGCCTGCCAGCCTGGACTGGGGAACAGCAGAGCCTGAAAGCAAGAGATGCAGAAAACAGTGTGCTATTTCTTGCGACCCAACACATGCATCATTTTCAGGCTCCAGACTCAGCAAGCACTCATCTGGAGTTTTGCCTGAGTTAATCTGCCCAGCAATCTCTGATCCGGCTCCCTTGGATTCTGTGGATGAACACATTGCCATGGACAAAGACAGTGGCTACGACTCATGTCAGCTTTGGCCAACTGGATGGGAATTTGCCCGCTTATCTGTACCAAGCCATTTGCTCCTCTTCCCTCCCGTAGCACATGGGCCACGTTGGGCAGAATGCCGATAGGGAAATGGGGATCAGATTCCAGCCCAAGTCCACTGTTCCTGCTTAAGGCAATGAATCACACTTCCCAGGGCCATTCTGCAGCTGCCGCCTGGTCACTGAGAGGACTAATGAATAGACTTACCTGCAAGGGTATGGGGAGGAGTGTGTGAGGACAGACAGACCTAGTCTCTAAGAACCTGAGATAACATGAAAACTCCACTGATCCTAATGGATTCAGGATAAGCTGTGTGCTGGCCTGAACACACCTCTTGCTAATTGCTCATTCCCAAACTGACTGGCAGTACTGTAGTGGGTGCCAGGTGCTGCCTGCCTCCAAACAGCTACAGCAGCTCTCTCCTAGAAGCCTACCCACACTAGGATGCTGGTTATCTCCTGTGCCAGGTAAGGTGCGAGCCACATACAGGTCGTGATGAACTTCATCTTCCCCATCCTGAAGTTCTCCCTATTCCAACATGCATTTACAGCAGAATTCTGCCACAGATCATCGCTCTAGTCACAGGCTGCAGCACTGTGCTGAATATACAGTCATTTGCTTCCGTCGGCAGCGAGAAATTTAGTAGGTGCCAAGTAAGACCTGCTGTCACCTCCCTGGTCTTACCTCCCCTGTAGTGAACAGGAGCCCCTGTCCTTGGCACAACCAGTCTTGATGCAGTTGGGGCGCCATTCGTGTAACTCCTCCCCAGCAGAGCTTCTTGCTCTGCGGCTTCTCAGGAGAGAACTGAAAAGGCCGTGTGGCCCTCCAGTGCCAAAATGCAAATGCTGCTTGGCAGCGGTGTGGTACTTTTCTCAAGGCTGTTTCCAGGGACTGTGAGCTATCCACAAATAAACCCACAATGCAACAGAGCCAATTCTGCAATGTAAAGGGCAGAGGAATGGAGTACTGGATGGGATGCACTCTAGGATATAGGATGGCAAGCCAAAAGATAATACTGTTTGGTTTTGTCCACATGCAACCTTGTACCTGTGTTTCCACTGACCAAAATCTGTACAGCTGTTTGATCCAGCAAGCACAGAACTGTTATTTGTGATCACAGAACCACAATGTAAATATATACATGCACAATTACCCTGTTAAAAATCAACTTCTTGTATGTTCTTTGCGAAAAGTCATTTTTTAAAAAGAATGATAGAAAAATAGACACATGAAGCAGCACGGGCTTAAATAAGTCACTGCTGTCAGACTTTCTGTTCCACTGTTTGGTTGATTTCTCCCTGTTCCTTTAACTCTTACCCTAATTTTTATAAATCTGGCCATTCCTTGGCCATTTGGTCTCTCCAGACAACTTCATTCAACAGTGCTGTTTATCTAATAGGATGCAAAGTAACACCTAAGAGCAATTACTCCACGTTTGGATTCAGAGGGACAGAAAAGGTTCAGAGAGTTCAGTAAAAAGTTTAACTGAGGTTCTGACATGCGCTTTTTTGGCACAGTGGATCTGGCATCGTACCTAGCTTCAAGGGCAGGCTTTCAGCTCGGGCACAGCGCTCACCAACAGCAATTAAGCAAGCATTAGTACAGTGACATTTAAGTTGGATGCCTAATACGCTGCTTGAAGTCTCTGAGGACAAAAATGCCGCTTCAGATGAAAAGTGAAATGTGACACTGATAATGAATGCTATTATTTAATCTTCTTGATTTTTCACACTTAGAAAATAAAAGGGCTTGACTTGGTTATATTACATATTTCCTGAAGCAGTGACTTGTTTAAATTAGTTACAGGGAGAAGTGTCATGCAATGAAGAAAGCATTTGTTTCGTTAGTTAGTATTACGCAACATGACAACTGCATTCCAGAATTAAACTACAGATACATCAGCTGCCAAGCTCTATGAACTTTAAAAAGCAACATTAAGGAAGGGCTGCAAATGAATTGTTTCTTCCTAATAGTGGATTGAGAGCAAAGGGCATGCTTTCACAATAGATTGAAAAATCTATTACTGGGAAGTACCAAGTGTACCAAAAACCTACATGATATGAAATGATCATGTAGTAAGAGGCAACAGAGACAGCATCTGCACTTTTTAAGGGAAGTCTCTTTTTAGGTCTGTATCGTGTAGTGACAAAGCAGACTTGGGTTTGCATTCCCAAGCTCTGTTATAGGAAAGTAGATGTGGCTGGCTTTCTAAAGGATATTTAAACACAACGGAATTCTGGCACAGCTTTCTCCCTAATGAGTTTTCTAAGCCTGTTTCCCAGCTGTCGGAAACTACAGCTATCTACAGCAGAGGTGGAAGGTAGCTTAAAGGCTGGTAGAGATTACTGGGAGAGAGATGAGGCATGAAATAACCAGTCCCCAAAGACTGAGGTCTGGATGAGAAGGGATTTTGTGGCTTTGAATCCATTACACAATTGTGAGCGGAAACTGCCCCTGGTTGCCACCGGCGTACGTGTGTCCACAGTCTTAAGTCAGAAAAAACAAGCCAGTTGCCAGAATAAAGCCATCTCCAAGAGTAACAACCAGCCTTTTATGTTTGCTAACATAAAACAGCCCGCAAAAGTGTCAAGGTGAATGTGATCCAGTAACTGAGGGCAGCAGCCATAATTTCTAGGCTTCTAATCAGGGTGCCCTGTGCCTCCTGCCAGCAAAACTTTTCACATCGAGGGTGCATAGCGCAAATGAAAAAGGACCCAAGGATAGATAAACAAAACAGAGGCGTGCTATTAGCTGAAAATCAACATTGTCCTGGTGGCCTTTTCTAAGGTAAACGTGACCACAAGGACAACGGTTTACAGCCAACAGCATTAAGTCTGCACAAGGAATAAATAAATGCCTAACCACCCCAATATTTTCATGGAGAAAGGCTGCTTAGGGTCAGAGTTTAAGAGGATGAACGGTCATTACAACAAACACTTCTTGTTCCAGGTTCCTCATGGTTCTCACCCCTCTCTACACTGCAAAACGATAGGTTTGACAATCTTTCACAAGAGATCATCCCTAAAATCCACTGTTCACCAAGAGTTGTGTCAATAGAGCTGCTACAGCTGTACTCTTGGGGACTCAATCTTTTGGCTAGTCAAACTACACAATCCCAGAACTGCTGAGGCTGTAAGAGACCTCTTGACATCATCTAGTCCAACCCCTCTATTCAAGCAGGGTTACCTACAGCAGGTTGGCCAGGACTGTATCCAATCAGGTTTTGAGTGTGTCCATAGACGGAGATCCCACAACCTCTTTGTGCCAGTGTTTGACCACCTTCATGGTAAAAAAGTTTGTCTTGTGCTCAGATTGAATTTCACAGGGTCAAGGTCAATGGTTGGCTCTTGAAAGCTGGACGTTATATTCTAAAGTGAAGAGACAAGGGGATGGAGTACCTGCACTAGCTTTAATCTAGTTAACAAAGGTCCCAATCCCAGTGGGAATAGGCTGGAAAAGGTTAACGAATCCTCCAGGGACAGAGGCAGCTGTGTGGCTTACTGCTGTTGTTACTTGTGTTAACTGGCTAGCTTATTCCTGTCAGTTACTACTTCACTTGAGAATGGAAACCACAAATTGCGCTAGAGCTAAACACAGAAGTGAAGCCATTTTTCCCTCTCTAAGATACCTATGGCAGACGCATGGCACAGCAGATCACCCACCTCGCAGTACTACAGGAAAAGTCATCCCCGGGGTCACAAGACTCATAGAAATCCATCTGCAGAATCACTAGCAAGATTTGATATTTGGACACAGATTTTAGGGTCGTGGCCCCATCCATTCTCATTTCCAGGACATTATACGTGCGTTACAGAAACAGCAATTGGCCAATTAGGAAATAAAAATAATCCGGCAGAGACTAGTAAATACAAAGGGACTAACTGGCTCAGAAAGTCCCTGGACTGCAAATTGTCGAAGATAGATGCAGTATTCTGGAGGAGTACTGCTATGTTTGCCCAGATCTTACTTCTTTTTAAGCCTCTGTAATGGCCAGTATAAGGGATAGGTAGTTTGGTTAATCCAGATTCACCATTTTTTTCCTCATATTAGGTGGTTGTTGCCCCTTTGCATTGTTGAGGCATAGCATGAAGGAGAAGAAATCAGACTGTCTTTTTCTAGTGCACTCTACTGGAGTAGCCCTTCTCTCTGCATGTCTCATTTGTCTCTAGCAGGTCTTTGAACTGTAAGTAGTAACGTGTGAGCACGTTGCTGTATGTGTTGTAGCTCTGCACACAGACAAACAGTGCGCACATACCCAAGAGTCCCTTCCAATCCCTTTATTCTTCCATTTGTTGTTCAAATCTGTTTGCCCACTCACTTTGGTTTTGTGACTCATTCTACGAGAATCTCATTTGTGGTGGCAGAAGGAAACTTCCCTGAAATAAAGCAAGTGCATGAACTGCCTATTTAAAGGGGTCAGGTGTTCCCTGCTAAAGACTGTCCCCTCAACCAGCTGTTCATGATAGTGGTTTTCCTCTACATTAACTGTTGTTCTCCCTCTCTTCTCACACACTATAACCCATACACAGCCCGCAGGAACAAGCATATCTTTTTAAGACAGCAGCAGGGTTTTGCTCTGCAGATCAAAAGCAAAATATTCATAATGACCACGTGTTTGGCAGTAAATAGGAAGAACGGCTGAAAACTCTGTTTTCCCTTATCTACTTCATCTTCTAGTTTCAGTGGGCCTCCTTCTAGGAGCTTGCCTTGTCTGCATCTCTCCCCGTACTCTAGGATTTGGCCGACATGCTAACTTGTATTTTTTCTTATTTTTCATTTTCAAGCACTGTAGGTGGCACTGAGATTGTGAGCAACAGCCGAGAATTTCAGGTCATCTGAAACATAAGCAACTCCCAGACATTTTTGTAGGGACTGAATTGAAAAATGGCAATAAATATACTTGTTTTCACTTTCACTGAATTCTGAATGTCTACCATCTAGACATCTGTATCTGAGTTCCTCATTATAGGCTCTCTTCATACTTGGTGAGTAAAAATGGGTGCTTCCGAGAGGGCAATACATCCGATATCTTCCTTACAGGGAGATAACTCACACCCTAAATGTGCATATTGATTTCTTTTCACTGTAAAAAGTCTACTAAAGGTTAATGATTGCCATCCCATGAGCTTCTGCATTCTGTACTGATCAGATCTCTCCACCATCAGCTGTTTTATATATGTCTTACACTGTAAGTAAACTGCAAGACTGGTTCATCCCCAGAGGTTTTGATTCTATATAGAAGTAACGTTTAAATGCACCTTCACACGTGGGTCTGAGTTCTTTCTCAGACCTATGTAATTTGTCTTAATGACTGCATATACAGATAAATATATATTTTTAAAATCCTAAACTTACCATGACCTGGTGAGAAAACATCATCCACAGAATTCAGACATAACACCGGAATTCCTACTGACTTCAGCTTGCGACATGGGCTAGCATCTTCATAGTAATCATCAATTGTAGGGTAGCCAAACATGACTGAAGTGAACTGCTTATCAAATTCTCTAACCGTTCTAGCCTGAAGCACAGAATTCAAATAGGGAACTATGTCAGTATTTGGAAAACAGCATCCAGCTAAAGCAGAAGTAACATTTTCACGTACCTTCATGACAAGATCCATATCAAATAATTTCTCCAGCATTTGTCGATGCCTAGAAGGAAAGAAAGAAAAATTAGAAGTCTGGGGGTTTGTTACATAAACAGATGCAGAAATCCTCTGCTTCACAGATACATTTGTAGAAATAACTCCCTAACAAGAACATGCTTGGTTTTAATTTTCTGTCATATTAAAAATCCATCTGGAATCCAAGAGAAGAGGAATTGTTGATACATATGCAAACACATCCAGCAACACAATAAAGGTCTGCATGAGCCATAAGAAGGATGTCAGAGGTAAAAGAATTTAAGAGAATTAAATATTCAGGAATACAAAATACCCCCTGATTTTGCAAAGCAAAGCATGAACTTTCATGCTTTTCCAGTCAAGGCTGGCTTAAAAGAATTAGTATATATAAACATATATACTCAAAGTCAATATGTGCAGGTGTAAAAATTTAAAAATCCATTTCCTTCATCCATAAATACAGAAGTACATAGACCTTGTGCCAAGTCCCTTGAGGAGCAGAGAAAGTTAGTCAACATGGGTGAGAATATTTTTTGCAAAGATCCTTTTGTTTTCAAAAGTTACAGCAGAACGCACACAGAACAGCCACGTGATGTGTTGTTACAGCTGTCATTTTGCCAGTACTATTATACCTGCTGTAGACCTCATGCTAACATCCTTCCACCTTGCTAAATAGTTTAGAAGGCAACTCACCTGCTGATAGAGGATTGTAGACAAGTAGTCAAGTAATAGTTGAAAAGAAGCCAGTTTAGTGGCTTCTCCAGAGATTCTACAGATTCAAAAACATTCCAACCCGCAGAGAAAATTGCAGCTGCCATTAAAGGAGTGTCTCTGCCAGTTTTGCCCAGGTAATTTAAAAGAAGCATGCTACAAACAGAAATGAAAAACAGAAACATATATACTATCAAACTGTTTGCTTCAATTTAAAGCAAATATAACAATCAGCCACCTCTTTGTTTTTCAATAGTTTCTTGTATCAGCCCTACAGTTGTGCCAAATACTTCTAAAAGGTAGTCAGTGTAATCAATGTATGACTAATGAACTTTGCTTTCTCTCTCTACTGTCAGAGAGGAACTGAGTGCACTGTGTAGGACGTGGGTAGGAGTGCATTTAGAAATAAATAGAGGTGTACTAGTCTTATTTAGATCACTAAAAGGGAGGGAAAGGTCAAATAAATGTATCTTACTCATGGAACAGGTATTCCCAAGTTGTTAGTAAGTTTTACCGTTTTACAAGCTCTTGGTCTTCCTGATCTGACAAATCCAACCAGCGAGCCTGACAGATACAAGCTGCCCCTGGCATGCCTGCCTCACTGTGAAGCTGTCTTCGGAGCTGAAGGTAATGCCTTTACGCCACCTCACACATATGAGAGAACACAGCCATTCTTTAACTTGAAGTATGTAAAGAATGAAGTGTTGGGTAACACACAGAGACTTTATCCCCAAGCCCTACCTGCTAGATCATAGGACAGCAGTGCGAAAGGGAAAACAGCTGGTAGGAACCAGCAGGAAAAGAACAGCAAACAGCACTTGGGAGTGGGTTCCTGCCATCAGCCCACACACTTGAACCCAGTGAGGAAAGTCACCTGTGGTACATAGAGGAGTTAGGTAACATACGTTCCCTCTCACCCACAGAGGAGGAGGAACCTGTGAGTCACCAACCTATATACTGTAAGAACACTGAGCCATAAACCAATAAAAAAAAGTTGCAGTAGTAGAATAAACCACTTCTCTAACAGAATTCACAGAATATATGTGGTAGAGAGAAGGTTTAGGAACCTTTACGTTAGAAAACAAAGTCCTTTTCCAGTATAACACATACTGAAGATCAGTGGAACAAGTGGGCTTTCATTTACATTAACACCTTTGTGAAGTGAATGTTTATTTTCCTTCTTAATTGGGCAAATATGTCCTATACAGATGAACTGGCTATTCAGAAAATGTTGAAAAGAGGTGGATAATAAAAACTATTGTAAGATTAAGACAAATGGATGATTTTTACAATATGGTGAGATCTCTGCTCCTGCTTGATTTTAGACACTCAAGTGCTCCAATTAATTCTGAAGCATGGAAACATGTCCCCATGTAGATGATCAGAGACTCTTCCAGTATTCTGCACAATTAAGCATATGCTTTCTCTTTGTGGTACAGGACTTTAAAAACATGTTGGAGGAGGAAGGTGGAATATGCCTCCTCCCTGGAAGTGTTCAAGGCCAGGCTGGATGAGGCTTTGAGCAACCTGGTCTAGTGGAAGGTGTCCCTGCCCATGGCAGGGGGGTTGGAACTAGATGGTCTTTAAGGTCCCTTCCAACCCAAACCATTCTGTGAATGAACCATCTTGCCTAAAATCACCCAGTGGTGGTGAGGTAAAAGCCAAGAACACAACACAGATCCCCTGTGCCATACTAACAGACTTCGCCACTATTTAAAAACCATAGCTAGGTTAAGCCAAGGACAGAGATGACACTGAGGGCCCAACTGGTGTTTTGTACCAGTCACAGAAGGGCTGGCTTCTGCTACACCTTCAGCCCTGAAAACCTGGTTCTTCACCTACCACAGCCCAGCCCTCTTTGTTCTAGTGTCACGGTGCACCTCACACTAAGTTACCCATGAAGAAGTATGTGCTTTAAATCTTGATCTCATCATTGAAACAAGCCTCTACTCCAGATCCTTCTTTGGCTTTCACTATTTCCAATGAAACATGTTTTTGCAACACATGACATTATTTCATGTTTTGCATGCAAAAAGTCTTAGCTGGGGAGAGAGCGCATGCCAAGGGAGAGAAGAGCCAACTGGCTTGCTAACCTTGTGAAGAGTTTTAAACCTCTTCTAGGTTTGTCAAGGGATGGAGTACAAAGCCTGAAGAGAAGCGAAGGCCTGGCAGGCCCTGATGAAGCACCCAAGGGATAGCATAATGAGGGAGGCTCTCCCACTTCCCTGCAAAACCAGCATGACTGCGGACCATCTCATGTGCCAGCACACGCACAAACACACAGCGTGGGAGAAATAGGAGGAATTAGAAATCTGTGCATGGTCACAGAACAAGTTTGTTGGATCAGAGAGACATGGAGGACTCACAGGCAGACAAGAATATGCTATGATGGATGCAAACAGACTTTTCATGAAGGCCTTGAATGCAAGGAGGAGGGTTTGCACCTTAGACAAAGAAGCCATTTAATGCACAGAACCTTCTCCTGGTGCAGGTTATAAGCCAACTCAGAGCTAAAAGGTCAAAATCAGATAGGAGGCCAACAAAGCGGATGTCATGGTGGGTGGCTACTACAGACCTCCTGATCAAGAGGAGGAATTAGAAAATCCAAGTCTTTCAACAGCTAAAATCATCATGATCACCAGGCATAGGGAACTGTAACCATCCCAAATCAATTGCCACAGCAAGGCACAAGCAGACCAGACTTCTGGAGAGTATTGAGGACAATCAATGACCCAAATAGGGAAAATGTTCTATGGATCTGCTGCTCACATGTAAGGAAGAAGCCATCAGGTCCAGGAGGGTGCAGAACAGTCTTGGCCGCTGAGATTATACGATGGTGGATTTTTAAGATCAAAAGTGAGTGGGGAGGTTAAGCAGCAGAATTACTGCTTAATAAGAGAGAGTTGGCTTTAATATGGTGAGGGATTTGGTTGGCAGGATCCCATGTGAGATGGCCCTGATGGGCAAAGGGGTTTGGGAGAACTTTTTGACCTTAAGGATAACTGAACATAAAGCACAAGTGTGATACATTCTGACGTGCACGAAGCTGAGCAAGAGTGACAGAAGACCACATGGAGGAAGAACATACTCCTGACTGAGTTCAAGAAGGAAGTACCCTGAAGGTGGAAGGGGGGTAGGCTGCCTGGGAGAAATAGTCATTGCCCAAGCATGCAGGGATGCAGTTAGGAAAACTAAAGTTCAGCTGGCGTTGGAACTAGTAAAGGTTATGCAGGACAACAAGAAAAAGCCTTCTGCCACATGAAAGGCTTCTGTACGTACATACACAAAAAGACTCAGAACAAACAGCATCCAATCCTTTCCCCTCATCAGTGAAGTCAGTCATCTCATCATAAAAGGCAATCAGATCACTTGGGGGTGCTTTGTTCCTTGATAAATCCACTCACCTTCTCATCCTTCATATGCTTGCAAATAGCTTCCATAGGATCTTCCCAAAGAACTGATGTTAGACTGACCAGCCTTTATTCCCTCCTGGAACCACTATTCAACAAAGCAGGGAACCTAGTGACAAAAAGCAGAGGCTACCTGTCTTCCCTATCTTTGCTGCTGAGATCTGTTCTCAGGCCTACTAGGTCCCTGTACCTAATGGCAGAGTGTGGGAGAATGAAGCATGACTCATGGCAGAGGAAGATCCAGTTCGGGCCCAGTTATGCCAACTGGGCATAGATGTGTCAATGGGACCAAGTGTCCCAAAGACCCGGAGGGAGGCAGCCAGTGACACTGCTCTCTATGACTTTTGAAAGGTTACAGCAACTGTGGGATGTTACTGATGCCTAGAAAAAAAAAAGGCACCCATCTACAAGAACGGCAAGGAGGAGGAAATACAGGCTGGTCAGTCTAACCTCAGTGCTTTGGGAGTATCCTCGGAAAACCTCTGGGAATATCCAATCTGGAGTGGATGTTGACCCATGGTCCCTGTGTAGCTAAATTGGAGGGACATGGTTTGAATGCGTGGAAGACCAACTAGACCACTAGTCTCAGAGAGCTGTGATCAGGAACATGAAGTACAACCGGAGTGGTTGGATCGGATGCTACTAGTGTTCTGCAGCAGTCAATAATGGGGCCAATACTGTGTAACGTCTTCATTAACAGGATGATGAGGTGGAACGCACCTTTAGTAAGCCTGCACGTCTAATTGTGGGGAGTGGCTGGTGAACTGAAAGACAGGGCTGCAGTTCTGAGGGACCTCACCACGCTGGAGAAACGGGCTGGCAGAAACCTCATGAAGTTCAATAAAGGCAAAAGCAAAGTCCTGTATCTAGGACAGATTCGTGACTGGATAGGGAGCAGCTGAAAAAAGACCTGGGCAGACGGAACATGACTCAGCAACACACCCTTGCTGCAATAAAGATGACTGATGACATGCTGTGCTTTGTTAGTAAGCGCAAAACAAGCAGGTCTAGGGAAATTATTATTTCCCTCTATTTGGCACTTATGAGGTTGTATCTGAAGAACTGTGTCCGATTTTGGGCTTCCCAGCAAAATAGATGCTGTCATACTGAAGAGATTAATATGTCTTCATACTGAAAACACTGGCAAAATCCCAGCAACAGGAATAGAAAAAGATTGGCCTCATTTAAAAGGTTTCCAAGTTACTTATTTGATTATCAATAACTATATTTCTTGAGCAAATCTGTAATTATCCCAGAGCTCCTACAAGTCGTTAGTAGATTAACATCAATATACTGGGCTATAACTGCCCAGCCTCCATAAAATTTATCAGAAAGAAGGGAAGTCTCAGGAAGTTAGCACTGTGCCTGCAGTATTTCTAATGGAAGTTCTCCTCTCCTACGATTTTTCGTTAAAGAAGCTGTCAGAACGTTTCTCCTAGCTTCTAGCAGTGATTTTTTTCTAAGAAACTGTGCTGTCATTGTCTATTCTAGCTGTGCTTTCTGGAGAGAAGCCAGGACACAGCAAGTCTTAATACCACATGCTGTATCAGCCCATACTGGTTTCAGCAACAATACTACTCCTTGCGTCTGAGCCAGACAGGGCAGATACACCCACATCTCTTCTATCTTAACCTACCCACACACTGCAGAACCCAAACAGAGCGAAGATAAAACTTGCAATTTCCAGAGGTTGCTAAGAGACATGGTATGTTAGCTCTAGTTCCCATTTTTCATCCCTCTGTTCCAAAGACAGCCTCCATAGTTTCCAAAGATTGTACTGCCCACCTGTTTGGCTGTCAATCTGTCTGCCAGTGTTTCCTGTCTTTCTCCACCCCCCCTCAGCTTTTGAATGCTGGCCAATTCCGACCTTCCCTGACACAGAGCTAAAAGCCTCCAAGATATGAAGCTTCTAAAAGTCTTCTGAATACTGACTGTTGGAGACAGATCCAAGTTAGTTGCGGTTCAGTAAGGAAGGAACATACTGCGGACTAATAATTTACAGTCAGGCTACAACAGTCTTATTTTATGATCACAGTTAAGCTGGTACTTGTGTTATGTAGTACCTTACCCTCCCATAGAAACACCGGCTGCCATGAACGGAGCTGAGGGATGCAGGCTGTGCACGTGATGAATAACAGCCTCTAAATCCTCTGTGTTAGCTGCACAGTAAGTCCTTGGTGTCTGTAAGGAGTCAGAGGGAAAAATGCCATCATAAGCTTTTGTATTATCCTTTAAGGACAAAGCAAACTGAACAGTGGATCATTTATATAACAAGATAAATTTAGCATTTATCACGAAGCTGCGCTCAATGGCAAATATAAATCCAGAGCACTTCACGAGGAGGTGGAGGAAGGAGTTATACTTGTTATCATTACAAAAGAAAACAGGTGACAAATATCTTCAGTATCTGCAACCTCCAGGTCATTAGACAAGATCTGAACACAGACCATCGAGCTAAACTAGACAGAACTAGATCAGAACTAGATAGGCCCCAATATTTTTAACATACCCTGAGGAAATGGAAACGTATCTTAAAGGCTGCAATTTAGAGAAACGAAAGTTAAAATGACAATTTTATCATCTTCACCCACATTCACATGTAAAAGGAAATACTAGACTTCAAGTTCTCTCAGCCAGCATTTGAAAAGTAACCAATATTTAGGTTCTGCACACCATACAAGCAAATAAATAAATTCACCAGTGCCATTTACCTAAAATATTACTAAAATATTCCATTAACTGAAGCATTGAAACACGTATATTATCCCTTCTCTATCTACCACCAGCGTCTCTTCAAATCTAGAACTGAGACTTGCAATGACTTCCAGTGGCATCACTGAGATTTGGGTAACCCCTTCCCTGCTTTTGAAGGAAAAGCACAGCTTTTGAGCCTCACCTGCACAGACCACCGCTACAGGCCACAGTCTGGGGGACTATCTGGAGCACTATAAGGGACATGAGTCCTTTTCGGTACAATAAGAATCATGTTGGGTTTTTTTTCTAATGGTGTTCTCTAGATTTCATCTGCAGCACGAGAGAGCTTTTAACTATAGAGTTGCTACTAATGTGTTAGTGACTGGGACTTAAGTACAGGTACTGGCTGGCCTGCCAAAGTTCAGGATAAACACTAAAACCAAACATAAAAATACATAATGATGAGTTAACTTATTTGTTGCCTGAAGCAACAATGTATTTTAAGGTGGGGTTTTTTTAATTGCTTTCACAGCCTGGATATTTGTGGGCAATTTTAACAAGTTTAATTAGATGAAACTAATTACTTAAAATACCTTTAACAAGAATATTGAGATGTTAAAGTCAAAGATTAAAAAAAGGAAAGAAAAGCTAAATCTGATTAATTAACACTGAAGATGTTTTTCATTTCCATTTATGTTGAACTTCCAGTTCTCATCCACATGAATCACTCTTCACTGTTTTACACCCTATTGATTATAAACATTGTGAATGTGTTTTATTTTAATTACATTGTCAAGTTTACAAAGAAAAATAAACTATTTTTTGTAACTAGGGTCTAATGTATTCTAAGTGAAAGTCTATTTGATTAAAAGTTTATAAAACCAGAGAGATACGTTGCATTTTAATTTCAGTTAATTCCTGACACTTTAATGTCTGTCTACCTACTCACTGGATGAAGATATTTTAAAACGCTATCTTAGCTCACATTGGCTGTGGTCAGTCTAATATTTGATTCTTCCATAACAGCAGCTCATAGTGACTTTAAATAACAAATGAGAATGGCATTTTAAAACTGATTCTTTAAATAGCTATTATTTGGTGTAATTTTGAATCTATCTTTAAAGAGACTGGAAAAAGAAGTACTTCCATGGCTAATTTCTACCGTGGTGCTCAACTATGCTTCAAACTCATTAACTAGGGATTTTATATTAAAATGTAGAAACCCCTTTGCAGAAAATGTGATACTTTCAGCGGGTTTGCTTCACAGTGAGACCTTATAAAGCTTAAAGATGTAAATCCGATTACAGTAAAATACACACAATGCATTCAAACAAGAGATCTTTCCTCTTAACGATTCATAAATTCATCAATAAGGACTTTGTGTCTCACAAAACTGCTTTGTAGATCCATCTCCGAAAGTATGCACAAAACTACTCTTAACATGGCAATATTTGCATTGAAATGCTTGATCTGATTATGGGAAAACATTCTAAGCTTTTTAAAGTTTGAAACCAGGGGATTAAAAAATGCAAAACAATGCCAAGTATTATGCACATTCATTCCAGCTGCAGAACTGTCAACAAAACGCATACGAAAAAACAAAGCTTATTCAGCAATATTTCATCGTGCCCTGTCCCTAGCTGCAGAAAACATTTAGCTTCAAGACTTTCTCGTTTGTGGAATCACCAGTTATTTCTAAGCAAACGTGATATGTCTGCCCCAAACACAAAAAATGTCTTTTGTAGCTCAGTTTGTGTCCTAATTGCTGAGAAAAATACACGAACACATTTAACTTTTAGGATCTGGCTATCCATAAAAATCTGGTTCATTAACTCAGTAACACATAATATGGATTAATTTTAATGGCACAACTCTTTAATCATATCAAAATCTAGTTTAGACTCCTATTGGCAACTGGGAAATTCATTATGACTGCTTGTATGTGGATTTGTATGCTAAAACAATGGGAGGAAATTGCACTGATGGAGGAGAATTTCTTAGATGTGTGCATTTTAGATACTACAGTATATTTGGAAAGAGAAGTATAAGGATAGCTCATTTTAATGGTACAGATATTAAGAAGTTAAATGATTTCCTAAACGAAATGTTCACAAAAATTTTGTGTTGACCAGCTGACCTCCTCGAATTTTACAATAAAAGATGTATATTGGCACATGATGTATCTGCCCGGTGACGAGATCTTCTTCTCTACATTTTCAACATATGCTGTGAGTTTCTCTCATTTAAATCCAACCATACAGGTAGACATGAATGATTCCATATATACCACTTGTGAGATATGTGTATCTTAGAAGTCATCCTTACCAAAAGATCCTCACCAGCAATTCCACGATTGTTAAAAACCACGCACCTAAAAATTGAGACAGTAAATTCAATTATATGCATTGTACGTTCCACTAAAAAATGTAACTTAAACACACACATAAAAAAAAGCATAAAGAAAAGCCAGCCAGTTCTATGGATGAGTTCAGCACTTAAATATTTACAGTCCTACAGAGCCTAAATTCCGACCTGTGTGGAAGACCCTTTATACCAACATGAAATTCAGTGAAGTCAGCGTGACGCTCTCTGAGCTCTGCGATTCGCCCGTCGAGGTCAGACTGCAGGATGAGAGAGCCCCAGGGTTTACCTGAAGATGGTACACGCAGCTCGTTCTGCCTGCACGCTGAGCTGGCCAGACACGAGCCGTACGCCCTGCCTGTGCAGGGCTGAGCCTAAAGCAGCGCTCTGAAAGGGAACGTCAGAGGTCCGCGTATGGAGATATCCTCCAAAGCTACGTAATTGTATGAAATAGCAAAAAAATGAGCCAAATCAAATTTATGATGACAGCTCCATCTAAGCTGAGGTTCTTGGTGATGGGATTGGGTTTTTGTCTGGAACAGCACAGAAGTTTCTGTTCTCTCAGTGCTGGTGGAAGTCTCTGCATTTTCTAGCAGCGTTACTGTGACTGAAGGATCCTTGCTTTCTTACTAAATCTGACTTTTCCATCACTCTTCTACCCTCTCACTGCAATAATTTTGTAAAACAATATATACATATTTTAGATGGGTTAAAGGCATGAAAAACTACTTATTTTTGTATTTTTCTCAAATGTTGCTGTTTAAAAATAGAAGTATAGCATGTTGTTGAAATCTGACCTAAAGCTCTCCTTTTTAATGCTATCCCTTCCTTTCTTAGGTGACCAAGGGCAGGTATTTCTTTCAGGAATACTTAAAAAATTAATAACAAGAAGTTGTTGATCTGAGGGCTTTCCCCCTCTGATATTTTTTACTGGTAAGTTATAAAGTGATTGTAAAAGTACTTTGAACAGTTAAAAGTGCTACTTTACTTTCATAATTTAGTGAAGCAGTTACCCAAACCTCCCAACAGAGAAGAGATAGCCAGACATGTGGATTGAAGCTCCTATATACATATCAGAAGAACTTATTGTAGTCAGTACCAGAAGCTGGTCTGCACAGACAAAATGTAATATTCCACATACAGATCCTGGAACAATGACAACTTATTTCAAAGCACAGCAGCAGCAATATGATTACATAAAGGAATCTCGTCATTGACTAATCCACTTATTTCACCCAACTGTGACCAGAAGCCTTAATAACAAAACTAAATTAAGCAGTGACAATTAAGAGGTGACAAACCTCTTCCTTAAGCTAGCTTTCCCTTCTGCACTCACGGATTTGAGGCTGCCGAATCAAGCAATTTTGGCACTCAGAAGCTGACTTCTTCTGAGGCCTGCTGCCAGCAACCCATCCACATGAGTCTTCTTGGAGCTGAATACAAACCCTTTCTTTAGGAAGTGTAAAGGTAGCACAAATACTGGTATTATAATTTGCAAAGCAGCAGCAAAGGCCCACACAGACTTAGCTTGCTTTCACTGCAGTCTCTGGGGCACATCTGTAGACATTATACCATCCCTTCCGAATGTACTGTTACATAATTTACTATTATTACTACTGATAATACTTTATTACACAAACTAATGTATTTGGATCTCACTTGCCTTACAAAGGCAACTTATACACGTACATACTCATATCTGATCTTATTAGAAGCAGCAAAATACTAGCAATGAAATACAACAGCACCTATATCCCAGCGTTTCGCTCTGATGGATCATATGAAGAATGTAGGATTCCTTGCTCGTTCCTGTCAGACCAGGCAATAACAGGACGGTGGGTCTTGTGCTGGCATCCGGATAATATAAGCTGTCATTATTATCAAACCAATCCAGCGAAATCTGTCCTCCATCTGCTGTTTTAATGAGCTCACTGAAAGGCACATTTCAAGACAACACTGATTAGACCGAAAAATACATGTATACTCTTAAGAGCGCTTACAGCGTGCAAATTACCAGGTATGAATTCTGCATCTTTAATTATGTTTTAATACTGAAAGTGCCACCTAACTAGGTATGTTGGCACATCCACCGTTCGGAAAGGGCCACGCCTACAGCTGACACGAGTTAGCACAGTCAGTCCGTGGAGTAATTCCCCTCCACAGTAAATGAAGCGCTGGCCTTTGATGCATTGCTGCTGATGCACTGGAAGCTTGTAACTAATGTGATTTTTGGCATTGCCTTCTATTTTATGTAGGCTCGTGTACTGCAGATTGCCTTCGAATCACCTGAGAATCTTTTGACAGCACTCTGGGCAATGTGTTAAACGTTTATCACAGTTTTTTCTCTTTATCCAAAGCAGCAGCACGTATAACGATGGCACCTTGTTACGCTTTAAACGCACGCAACACAGACACGCGCTGCTGTATCTTTCACCCTCTATCTCCACAGACTTTGCTAGAATGCACTCTTAAACCATCTATCTTAAGAGTGCAACACATACTACAACATCCCGAGAAGCTATGCATGCATTAAACAATGACAACAAGGCTTCATTCTTTTTTTTAGAAACATACAGCATCTTCCCTCTCCCTGGCAATGAAGACATTGTACGAGAGAGTTGGTGTAGGAACTACCAAAATGCAAGCCTACCTGGCATTTGATTTTCCATTTGAAAGTCTTGATAGCACCTACTCCAGATTTTAAAGCTCATCAGCCTCGTTGGACCCGTTAGCTCAGCACTGCCCTTTTTCAGTAATGGGAAGTAGATGCAATGCTGGCGTGTACTGCCAACACAATCTCAAATGGTGCAAAATAAGCATTGCCCCATGGAACTATGTTTCTTCCCTTAAGAAGCCTTGAAACAGAGTATACTAGAAAAAGTGGACATGGCCATACCACTGAAATGTTTCCTAGCTACTAAAACTAAGGGAAGCTGCTAAATGCTAAATCTATTCTACCATGCAAACAGAGCTGAAACAACTTGTGCTGCATCCAGGTTCCGGCGCATAAAAGTACTTCTCCTTAGGTCTTGTGCCAAATGCCTCATTTGCCAGACTAAGTCTCATTTCTGTGCGAGAGAGATCAACTGAGGACAAACATAAATATAAGTTTTTTCCCCTCTTAGAATTTAGGCATCAAAGAACACAATATAAACCTCACAGGTAAAAGTTACTCTGAAAATCCCACAAGGTTTATGTATTCAAGACAAGGCTGAATGTGGCCACGCTATGGTTAAGGTAGAACATGTTGGTTCAGCGGCCAGAGGCAGTGATTGCATGACCTTTGCAAAATGATGGCATTCAAACACCAAAATATTTGATACACCAGATGACTCTGCTGCCATCCAGAGGGACCTCAACAGGCTGGAGAAATGGGTTGGCAGGAACTTCATGAAGTTCATTGAGGGGAAGTGCAAAGTCCTGCACCTGGGAAGATACAAGTCCATGCACCAGTACAGGCTGGGGGCCACCTGGATGGAAAGCAGCTTGGCAGAAAAGGATGCAGGGGTCCTCGTGGACCACACTGAACATGAGCCAGCAACGCATCCTTGTGGGACAGAAGGCCAACAGCCTCCTGGGCTGCATTAGGAGGAGCATTGCCAGCATGTTGAGGGAGGTGATCCTTCCCCTCCATCCATCACTGGTGAGGCCACACCTGGAGTACTGTGTCCAGTTCTGACCAGTACAAGGGAGACATGGACATACTGTAGAGAGTGCAGCAAAGGGCCACATAGACAATGAAGGGAATGGAGCCTCTCCCCTCGTAAGAAAGGCTACGAGAGCTGGGACTGCTCACCTTGGAGAAGAAAAGGCTCAGGGGGATCTTATCCATGCATGTAATACCTGAAGGGAGGGTGCAGGTAGGACAGAGCCAGGCTCTTGTCAGCAGTGCCCATTGACAGGACCACATGCAGCAGGCACAAGCTGAAACATGGGAGGTTCCCTCTGAACATCAGAAACACTTTTTCACTGTGAGGGTGACTGAGCACTGGCATGGGTTGCCCAGGGAGGTTGTGGAGTCACCACAGTTGGAGATGCTCAAATGCTGTCTGGACATGGTCTGGGGCAACTGGCTCTAGGTGGCTTTCCTTGAGCAAAGAGGTTGGACAAGGTGACCTCCAGAGATCCTTTCCGACCTCAACCATTGTGTGATCCTGTGAAGATATAACCACACCAGTTCTTATATTGTCACCAACATTTCAGTGCTCCAACACTCTCTGAGCTAAAATAGGGCCATTTGGGAACCCTGACCTTTTAAACCTACTGTACATTGAATCCAGGATACAGATGGTTGCGAGTCCATGATGGAGCTGTAAAGGTGGGCAGAAAGAAAAAAACTGGGCAGAAGCCTGAGCAATGATGGTAGCTGTGACACAGTCAGAGTAAGGTAACCACTGGCTACCAAATCACTTTCCAGAAGAAAGGCACTTACTTCCTGTACTGTACTTGGGGTCTAGAGGTGATAAAGGGACGCAGGAGTGTCTGCACCCGACCTTCCCAGCACCAAATCGTGGGATAGTAAGTTTCTGTCACAACAGGGCAATATTCCTCGAGAAAGCGGCAGAAACGGTCGTTGCTGGCCACCAGCTGGGGTTTCTAGGAAGAGAGACTACAGTCAGGCATGGGCATTCGTATAAAACAAACTAACAAAGAATGAAAGAAATTTAAGCCTGTTTAAATCCTCTCCCAGTAAATGGATTTCTTTCATATAATCATTTGCGATGCTTTTTCCTTTCATGGTAGAGAGATATGTAAATGAAAACCAACTGAAATGCCAAAATGCCTACCCAAAAAGTGAAACCCACTAAACATAAAGGATTCCTTACCTACTTCTAATAACGTGCTATTCTAGCTCTACTTTTGCCACCACTGTACCTTTCGCTGACAAATCAAAACCACACTGCCTTACAGTGGGTGAGAAAGATTATACTGAATCAGTTTTCTTGCACGGCACAGAGATGACGCTTAACGCGTGTACCTGCAGTACCTATTTTAACCTGGCAGGACACTCCTCCTCCCATCTCATACCACGGGACGCTGCTGCATTGGTTACTCATCCCCAGTAATGCTCTGCACACGGAGGTTTTTCTTACAGCTTCCGTCTGTATGCCAATTAACACGGAAATCCCTGTCTGCCCAACATCTCACGTTTTCGCAACCGCATTTCTCAAGCTCCTCTTTCACGCTGACTCTCCAACGCGCAAGCATTGACGGGGCAGCGACAGCGGCTTGGAAAGAACCGTTACGCATACACAGCCGTAGCGGCACCGTCCGCCCTTCGTCCTTCTCCTCTGACCAACATCAAGCAGCCCCTTCTCGCTGACGAGGAAGGCTACGTTCCCACCGGTTCTGGGAAGGGCTGTGGCCACACGCCCGGCTTCAACAGTCGTAAAGCTCTCGGTACGCGTATTTGCAGTTGATTAAGCACTCGATGAGGCGCTCCCACCGCCGGGCCGCGTTAGATCAGGCTCACTGTATCCAAGTGATTTGCAAATTTTTCCTGGTGAAGCCGCTACTGACCGGAAGATGTGCAAGAGTGTCCTAGCGCCCAGAACGGCACCGAGGGCAGGCGGGAGGGCAGCAAACTACTTCACCCTTGTGTTAACTGTCCTGATGGCGAGCCAAGGAGGTCGGGATTTTGCTGTGGAGGGAGGGCTCCCCCCTCCCTTTCCCAGCCATCGCCCCCCCGGCGAGCTCTCCCCTCCGGTACAACGGCTTTCCGGGGACGCCCGAGGCCGGAGCCC